ACCAAGCTGCGAGACAGCACATCTCCTAACGCCACCCATTTATTTCCTCGCTCCTTCCTTGTCAGCGCAGGCCAGGGCCCCACCACACCTCACCTGCTTCTGCTGGGCTCCAGGTCCCTGAAAGCAGGGGGTCGTGGTGGTCAGCACCGTCACGGATGTACTGGCTGCGCTCACAGCTGCTGGAGCTGAGGCAGCCCGGACTCGCGGTACTGCAGGAGGAGGCTGGGCTGGCCCGAGGGCTGCAAGGAAGGGAGAAAACACAAACCTGGCTGAGAAACTATGGGCACCGCTGCTTTTCTGCTCCTGAGGCCGTGGGACAGGCTCTGCTGCCCCATGAAAGTGCCCAGCAGGAGAAACACAGCACAGCCGATCCCCGTCTGAGCAGCTCATGCCCTTCAGCGCCTTAGCTTCGTCACGGCACATACCCTGGTCATACCCAGTGGCTTTTAAAATAATTGACATCAGCCACCGGTCTAGCCCAACAGCTTTCCCAGCCCTAATGCAGACTCCTCAACACAGCCAGCAGGTGGGGGCTTGGGAACCCCAAAAAGCATTGCCCAGGAGCAAAACCACCACAGCAGCTTTGATTTGATCTTTTGATTTGTTCTTGGCAAAGTACAGTGGTCAGGACACCGGTGTGGTGGAGCAGGACTTGGTGGACAGAGCTGACAATGAAACACAGCTTTTGGCTACCTAGGGAGGGTGCAGAAGAGCATCCCACCAAGCCTGATTTTCTGTCCTGCTCTTGGTCCTGTGCAGGAGCAGTGTACAGCCCCATGCCTGGGAGGACGACAGCTCAGCAGATGGAGAGTTCAAAAATACAGACAGCCCACCGTAATGATCCCCAGAGACCGTTAAGCACTGAGCGCCACATAGCAAAGCAGCCCTTTTCTCCTTAGCCTCCTTCCCAGCTGGAAGAAGGACACATGGATCGCTCCCAAAATCTCTGGGACATTCCCAAACCTTTTGTCCTCCACTCCTGCCCATCCCGAGGTTACCTCTCGGGGCTGGCCACCGGCCTCTCCCATATCACTGCCGAGGGTTTCTCCCCCTGCCCACTCCCTCCTGGCAGCCGAGATGAAGCTCTCCTCGTAGGAGTCGTAGGTCTGCATCCTGCAGACAGGAGCAAAAGGAGACACCCTGAAGGTCAGAGATCTTGGGACCAGCCACAGACCCACTAATTTTGCAGCAGATGGTTGCACCAGGTGACGCTCAGACTCCCCACCCTTACCTGTCCTGCCCTGGGTGGGTCATGGCCAGGTTGGGGTGGTAACCCCTGTAGTAGTGCTGGTCCCGGTAATTGGTACTCTTGCCGTAAGACTCTCCCTGTCTCAGGTCTAGAGAGAGAATCAAGATTTAGCGTTGCCCCTCCAAAGCCACAAGCCATAATGAAGTTGCAAAAGAAAAGCAGTGAGTCAGGCAATTTGCCATGCACACCCCATTTGCTTCCAAATTAGCCCGACACGTTGGAGGTACGATAAAGCCCTGGACACGTTTGCCAACACAGCACTGATATCCTTTCCTCCCCGTCATGGTTTAACCCCAGCCAGCAACTCAGCCCCACCCAGCCGCTCGCTCACTCCCCTGCCCCGTGGGATGGGGGAAGAATCAAAGCGAGAAAACTCGTGGGTTGAGAGAAAGACAGTTTAATAGGTAGAGCGAAAGCCACACATGCAAGCAAAGCAAAACAAGAAATTCATTCCCCACTTCCCATGGGCAGGCAGATGTTCGTCCACCGCCAGGGAAGCAGAGCTCCATCATCTGTTAACAGTTACTGGGGAAGACAAACGCCATCGCTCCCAGCGTCTCCCCCTTCCTTCTTCTTCCCCCAGCTTTATATGCCGAGTATGACGCCATACGGTGTGGAATATCCCTTGGGCCACTTATCCTGGCTGTGTCCCCTCCCAACTCCTTGTGCACCCCCAGCCTCCTCACGGGTGGGGTGAGGTGGGAGGCAGAAAAGGCCTTGGCTCTGGGTAAGCCCTGCTCAGCAGTAATGAACACATCTCTGCATTGTCAACACTGGTTTCAGCACAAATCCAAAACACAGCCCCATACCAGCTACCACGAGGAAAATTAACTCTATCCCAGCCCAAACCAGGCCACCCCTTCCCTTTTTCTTCAGCCCAGGAACTCCAGAAATAGCAAAAGCAAGGCCCCAGCCACCCTGATCATACAGCAGTCTCAGCATTGAGTTCAACCTGGAACCAGGAATGACACAGGTTTTTAGCCATGGAGAGCAAGATCAAACATTCCCTTGGGCGCAACTAGTTCCTGCTCACATTTCCCAAATGCAACCCGAGGGCAATGCCGCACGGAGAGAATGGCACTGACATCCCAGAAGCGTGGGCAGGAGAAAGCCCTGGAGATCTGCAAGCCCTGGGAGAAGGATCCATCCTGGAGAAAGCATCACCTCTTCTGCAAGTGAGTCGCCTCCATCCCCAGACCCAAAGGGTAAACCCGTACCTCTGTCATCCTGCCAGGCCACCGGCTGCCACTGGTGCCTTTGGTGGGGGTAGTCACCCTCATAGCTGGCTGCTGGATACTGCCGGGGGGGGTCTTCATATCCTTGCCTGAAACACAACACGACATGCTGCATCTGAGAAAGAAAGGGCACTGCTGCAGGTTCTGGAACACATCTAGGGTTAGGTTCATGCCCCGGACGGGAGCTTTGAGGGCAGAAAGGGTGATGGAAATAAAGCCAGGTCCTCTGCCCAGCGGCCGGGCCAGAAACTGGTCCAGCATCACGCTGGGAAGGAGCAGCAGGAGGTTTGGATACTTTCCCGTCCCCATCTATGAGAAAGCTGTGCTCTGCCGTTTCAGGTGATGCTCAATTTCAGCTCAATAGCGTGGACTTGGCACGGGGATCAACTTTCACCCACATTTTAGGACAAGTCCCCCAAAAGCACCTTCTCTACCAAGCTCTGGAGCTGCCGTGTTCAGCGCACAGCTCAGCGGGTCTCCCCCTGCCCAGGAGCCCAGCCCCAGCCTAAGCCACCCGCGTACCTTAACCCTTTCACAATTTACACGACGATTTGGTCAGCCCCGTGCAACACCCCCTTCCCAGTGCAACCTCAGCACAAAACCCTGCGCATCCACACCGTAACTCCCCGAGGGCAATAACTCAGGAAAATCAACCCAAATTTGCTGGAGCGCTCGAAACTCTTTCTCAGCACCGAGAACACCCTCTAGCCCACATTTTATCCTTCCACCCTCCGCTGTTTCAGCAGCTGAGCTTGCAAGCTCCCTTTTGCTCCTATATTACCATTTATATTTTTATTGTTCACCTTGCACTTAGTAAAAAAGAACTGCATTTAATCAAACCTTCAAGAAAAACACACCTTGGGACTCAGACGAAGCCTGTAAAACAGCAACCACAGAAGTCGCAGCTATAAGCAGAAACTGGAGCCGTAACTGCTATGCAGTCTTAAATATAGAAGTCAGCAGCTGCTTTAATGGCCGGACATCACCTAATCATGCATTGCCGCCTCAAGGCTGCTGGCTGCTTCCCCTATGCAGTTACAAGGGCAGGACCCACGTCGCAAGCCCCCGAGACCGGTGAAATGCCCAAATCTTATTTTAAGAAGGTGGGGCGCAGCATGAGCATCGTTGGGCAGCTCTCACCTGGAGTATGGCCCATTGGGGTAGCTGCTTTCATAGTACTCATCCCGGGAAGCCAGTCTGCGAGCATCCCTCCGGGGGTGGTGGTGGTCCTCATGCCAGGGCTGGCCGGGGAGGTGGCCCCCATCCCAGGAGCCGGGTCGAGGTGGGGGTCCTGCACGGAGCAGCTGCCGCCTGGGCTGTGGTGGAGAGCCATGGTGGGCTTCTCCCCAAGCCCCTCGGACTGCCTGCCTCTCCCGGGGCTGGGGCAGCTGGGCTGGGACCCAGGAGTCCATCACAAGCTTGCCAGTGAGATCCTCTCTGGTTTTGGGGTGGAAGGGGAGGTTAAGACCCAAATGGCTTTAGTGGCCTGCAAGCAATGAGATGAGTCACAGGGTGGTTTTTGATCAGTGGCTTTTTCACCCCGCTCAAAGCTCCCCTGGGAAGCCTGTTGCCACCCACTCTCTGCTTTTGGGAGCCTGTTGGAAGCCCAGCATCCTTTCCAAAATGCCCAGAGGCAGGGAAAAGCCATCTCCACATCTGCCTAAACTTGAAGCTCCCCTTAAAATACCAGGATGAAATGGTCCATTTTTGAAAGCAACAGGCATCCAGCTCTTCCCAGAGCAAGACGTAGCATCCAGGTAGGCATCCTCCCGCACCCCCAGCCAGCCCTGCCAAGCACCACCGCTCACAGCCCCCCCAAGGAGATGAGACATCAGCTTTACCTCTGTGACAAGGCAGTGAAACTCCATTTTATATGTGGTAGGGGAAGGAATATTGGCAAAGCTACGAGCAGGACAAGGAGAGTTATTCTCAAAGAAATGATTAGAGACAGAGGCAGGGAGAAAGGGAGCTTTGCTCGTGTGAGCTATGAGATGGGGTGGAAACAGAGATTTCCTCCTGCCTTTCAGCTCCAGCAAAAAAACATAGCAGTTCAAGCAGACACCAGATTTACTTATAACAGTCCCATGCAGAAGAGGAAACCCTAAGGAGACCCCAGGGCGACACATGGGTGAAGCCCCAGCTGCCAGGGGGGATGCCACCCTCAAGCCCCCCACACCTCTCCTTTTGCAGCATCGGTACCCAAACTGCCCCCACAAAGGCTCACGAACCTCCCCTGTGCAGGTCAGATGCTGTCTGAACCGTTTGTCACTCCACACACCCCCAAAGTTTAAGGCATTTTGGAGTCATTTCAGGGCTGGGAGAAGACGGGTCTGAACAGAGGCAGCTCGGTTTCTGCCCCTTCTAGGTGAAATCAGGATGAAATCCTTGCCCTCAATAGCCCCCAGGCACAAGCATCCAGGCACCCATCATTTCAGTCCCACCGAGGGCCCCCCTAATTTTCAGCCAGGGGTTCCCACCGCC